CTCGGTTCTCCCTAAGACCCCGTATCTAATGGTGCACAGGGCGAAATCGCCCGGGTTTACGACTCAGCAGCCGTCTGCTGATTCAGTGGGTGCAGAAAGGCTTCCAGCGTCAAGAAACCCAACCAAACCCCTCCCTGGCTTGCCCCGCAGGCTCCTACCCAGGGGAGAGCTGGACTCCAGCCCTAAAATACCGACTGGAGGAAGGCTTGCTTGGCCAGGATGGCTCTGTTCCCTGCCCGGCCGTGTTGGGATCACGAGGGTTCGGGGTGTGACGCCAGGCTGGGGCACCCAGCCAGTTACCTTGTATTGGAGTTTGAGCCTGGGACCCAAAGTGGCTCGGGGTGCTGAGGGATCCGCGGGGGTTGGGTGTTGTTGGGGTGACTCTCATGGACTGGCGCAGCCGTTCCAGCTCCCCGTAGCGGTCGGTGAAGGGTTTGGCTTGGTCTTCTAGCTTTTGTCTGTGCCCTGGAACACGATAAGAGAGTCTGATATCTAATCAGTTACCCTTTGGCTAGCGCACCTTGGTTAAACAAAGCCAGCACAGCCTCCATCTTCGCGGTTTGCTATTATTCGCACAAGGGTAATGTGTGATTTGCCCCAGCGGAGATCGGCTCCCCGGGGGCTTTGCACGGCACACACACGTGGGAAGAGCTCACGGTTCAGACAGACGAAGCTCGTCGAAGAAGTGACGCAGACTGACCCGTGCGGGAGGCCCCAGATCATCCGGTAAGTCTGCGTCCGATCGAGGAGCAGGATGCGGGCACCAGGGTCAGGATGCCCTGTGCCGTGCCCAAGCGACCAGCCTCCACCAGCCCTCACTCACTCCGAACGCGTACGTGCAAGGCAGGAGAAACCCCATCTCCTGGCAGGGCGGTGATTAGAGAACCAGCAAAGGAAACATTGAAATTTAAGTATTTTCTACAGCGCTTGCTCCGCGCGTGAAGAAGAAACTCTCATCTTAATCCAGCCCCCTCCTCAGCTCTGCCCACCCAACAGGGCCAGAGCAAAGCTGGGCTGGAGAAGGTGCAGGAGGAGGGAAGGGAGCAGCCCGGCCATGGCACCGCACCTTAGCCTTCTCACTTTGCTTCTTTCTGTTCCTCTTTTCCTACCCGTAAAATGGGGAGACTATTCACCTCCCTCCCCCAGGCAGGGCAGCAGCTGATGAGCATTCGTAAAGCACTCCCTGCTCCTTAGGTAGCAGCTGCTGGAACAGGGCAATAATTATTAAATTTATGCTAATTGTCCCGAGGCAAGAGGCGCATGAAATACACTTGATACATAACTTTCGCATTTTACTATATTAATCATCACCGAACGGCTTCACTCTCTCTGGGCCAGATTCCAGTCTCAGTTACACCCGCACAAAGCTGGAGGGACTCCAGAGAAGCCGGAGCTGCTTCGGTTTTACATCGGTGCCGGGTTCAGACCTTGGATTCTCCTCGCTATTTGCCTGCCACAGCCAGACAGCCGTGCAACACCCGCAGCTCTTTGCACCTGCCGTGGAAGGACCTTCCCAAGGTGGCAAACGCCTCATCCCGGCGTAAATGAGAGCAGAGCTCGGGGGCACTGGAGGTGTGCAGGCATGCCGGGGAGGTAGGACGGGAGCTGGGAAGAAACCCTTCTGCAGCTCTTCTGAGAGCTGGGCTTTATCAGATCCAGCCCTACGGCCCAACATCCACCAAGTCAAGCTCAGTTCTCAGCGGCTTTTAAGAAGAAAAGCGATGCATTTAAAAGGTGAAAAACGCAGCCACCTCTTGCTCGCATCCCCCCTTCCCTCCCCCCTCACATCTGCGCAGCGTGAGCTCGGTGTCAATTTATAGCAAAGTCACAGAAAGTCCCCAGACTTCCCCCTCTTTAAATCTGCTGTCTGATCTCTTCTGATCTCGCATTAGCTTGGCTCGTCGTGCTCAGGCTGCACTTGCCAGGCTGCCTGCAGAGACGCCGGATGGCTTGGATGGGAGGGGACAGCATCAGCTCCGGAGGGGACCTCGTGCTCCCAGCCGAGCTCCCTGCCACAGCGTCGCTCCTTGGGTACCCCAACAGCAAACCGACCCCAGTCACAGTTTTTGAGGGGCTTTGACCCTCCCCTGGGAGCTCCACATCCAGGTGAGCCCCACTATCCCCCCCAAACTCTATAATCTCCAGGCTCGCAGCTGTGCAAAACTCCAGATCGAGTGAAAACGTGCTGCCGCCAGAGCGCAGAACTCGGTGAGAAAGGGCTCCCAACAGAAAGCAAAACCCAGCGATATTTTGAGAATGTATTTTCCCTGCTGTGTGAAGTAAACCAAGGAAATCTCAAATCAACACCAGAAAGGATCCCTTCTAACCTCTGTGCGTCCCTAGACCTCGGGCACCTCTGTGTTAGCTGAGGGCCTTCGGAGACGTGAGCAGCATCCGTCACGTGGTGTTTGTGCTTTCCCCACGGGAGAAACCGTGTGCAGTGAGGGGTCTTGTTTTGGTCCACATTCTACTATTCTAGTATACATCTGAGCACAGAAGAAGAAAAATAGGTTTACGTTTTACCTTTAACCAGTTTTCTCAGGCAGAGCTTAGCAGAGAAGCCAAAAGAACTTCAAAGACCAAGTTCCACAGAAATTTGATGAAAATTAAATTCTCTGCCTCTATCTCAGCTGAAACCCTACCCTGCGGTAGTATCTGGCATGTGACAGAGAAAATCCTGAAAAATAGATCAAGAGATCTCAATGCTGATAATGTTTTTATAAGGATTATTCAGCTGTACGGCTTAACTGAGGGCTTCATGTGGCTGCATCGTGCTGCACTGTGGATGCTCCGGTCCCCGTGCTGTCTGAACGAGGGCACAGCCCCACGGGGTTTTTCAGCCTCACGTAAATAGCAGTGCTGTACGTGCACCCTCCAAAAGGGGCTGGTTTGCAGGGAGACCCAGCAATTACCAGCAAAACCTCCCAAAACCTAAAGCTATTGTGATAAAAAGAAAGTAGAAAATTCGATGCAAATATAAGTCAAGGCAAACACAGGGGCTCATTTAGGAGTGAAAACCCAGAGGAGAGCTACAGTGGGAACCTTCCTGGTTCTCCTAGACCCTCTGTGGTTCATATCCCACCCCATCACCACAGGTGGGACCTGGAAGCGCTAAGCTGTATAAAACAAGGCAGCGAATGCGTTAAAAACCACCAGCTTGGGCTGCCAACCCTCTTTGGTACAGGCTGTCTCCCCAGGACTTCCTGCCGCTTGTCGCTTTGAGCTAGGGACGTCAGACTTTGTCACGCAAGAGAGAATCGCTATTAATGGGTTTCTTTCATCAGAACAACCTGAGCTTTTTAATTTCTGCAGCGGCTGGCTTCATTAAAAGCCCTTCCCCATCTACCCACAGCTGTCATGGAGAGGAAACCAACGCCGTCAAGCGAACAATAGCTCATACCTTAGAGAAGAGGAAGGTGGTTTCTAGCTTAACCCGAGGACTGACTCAAAGCCTCCCGAAGCCAGTGGGTGGATTTTCAATCGACTTCAAACAGCTCCAGACCTCATCCCAAGAAATCTGTCTGAGAAGTCTTAATCATCCCGACCTGTGAATTTTGGGGCATGAAACCTGGTGTTGGGTTGGAGATTTTGCACTGCCTTTCCAGCTGTGCTAGCACTGGCTTCCAGGTCAATATTCATGGAAACAACAGCCCTTAGTACTATAAAATGATGGCAGCTACTGACCTTGGGCATTTCTTGTCAACAGCGCAAGGGTTTTAATGCTGAGTTGGTTTTCCAAATCAGTTAATTCCAAAATTGAATATGACATGATGTAAACATTGACAGATCACCTACGATCCTGATGTAATAACAAGATCTGTATCAGCATGTCAAACAAACAATCCCATTGAACACTTCCCAGCTGGAAGAGCCGATGTGAATTTGACACTTTCGGCCAGTAATAAGAAGCACACTGGAAGTTTTGGGTGTTTCCTTGGAATGCAGACAGTGAAACAGTGTGTGCTGCACTGGAGCTCAGCCCCTCCAATCTATGATTTAAAGACATGCTTTCTGCATTAAAACATTTCAAAGACCAAACAGACCCTGCTCTTCCTTCTAGAAGTCTGCAACCTGATGTGGCTTCCGAAGCTGGGACCTGGATGGGGTTTCCAGGCGGCGAGGGGGTATCCACAGTGTTCACCAAAAGCAGCTTATTTCTCCGGATCACTGAGATGCAGAGTATAAAGTTGATCAAAGTTAGGAAGGGGCTCCGGGAACTTCATGGCTTGAGTGATACCAAAATGTCAGAGCTGGCAGATTTGATTTGAAAAAATACTCTCTGGAGTGCCTGGGGCTCCCGGTTCCCTGATTCATCTGTGTTTAGAGCAGATGGGGTTACAACTGGGAGAGACAAGGGGCTGCACAGCCCGCTCTCCAGTCTTGGCGGGTTCGGATTTGGGTGTCACGTTCGTCCCCGTCCTCTGCCGTAGCCCCGTGCTACCAAAGGACGGGAGAGCAGATGGTGGGAAGTGGCCTGGGCCCTTTCTTGCTGCGAAACGCTGGCGGCAAGCTGGGTCGAAGGAAACGCGGAGTGTTTCAGCTCGGGGGGGGGGGATGTTCATTAACACACACATTTGCAGATCATTTCCTTCACTCCGCTGAGGAGAAGACAAGAACCAGGAGACGGTGGCGTGGGCTGGGGCAGCAGCTCGAGCCGAGCCATCAGCAGCCACAGCGGCCACTTTCAAAGCAAGGCTTCAAGCATCCCACCAGCAAGCTCCTACCATCCTTCACCCAAGGCTCTGCTCAAACATTAGCACCCAAACTCCATAGCTTAGCCGAGAAGGAGCTCACCAGGAGCAGCCATGCCACACAACCCAGTGCCTCAGTCTCTACACGTCCATGAGAATGGACCACAAGAAAGCAATCAGCAGTGGATAAAACTCCAGCTCAATGTGCAAAACACCTTTCAAATCCCTCTTGTAGCCCTCAAAATAGGTACTTCAGAGAGACATGCCAATACTCTACAGAGGGTTGAAATTTTTCCCAGTCTCGGCTAGACTATCAAGTCCCAGCATGTGCTCCAGAAAGAAGCCACATGTGAAATGCCTGTGTTATGGGCACCGCAGGCCTGTCCCTTACAGCAGATGTTGGGCTGGTTTCATCTTTGCACACCTATAACACAAGACGTGACCGTCCCTCACGTTTTCCCTGGAAACCAACCTCCAGCTCGAGACTTGCCATGGGAAATTCCCGGCCAGGAAGAATTTGCTGGAGCCCCATGGCCAGCAAAGGGAGGGGAGGACAGGGGAAGATGGGAACCAGGTTGCCCACAGCACCGGCAGCTGGAAGGGACTCAAACATGACGTCTCCACGGAGGAGGACGGAGATCTTCACCGAGCTCCAGTGAGTGGCAGCAGCCGGCAAGTGCCAGCGCTACCTCACCCCACTTCTAAAAGTTGAAGCTGAGAAGTTCACAGGAGGGAGCAGGAGGAAAATGTTAGAAGGAACCGTCTCTTCTGCTG